ATGAAATAAAATGTATATTATTATTATCAACATTTGCACTACTTACTACTAAATATGTATGCCACCTGCATGATCAGCCAGCTGCTGAAAATGTCAATGAGGGTAGTAGGTACAAGGCTTTTTGTATGACATCATCACCCTTGCCAGAATTGTCTATTCCCCCTACAAGTGATGCCCTCTGTCAGCACTGAAAAAAGGGCAAATCATCAGGCTGCAGTCATCAGGTCCTAGACACCTAGAAGATGGAAACCTACGTCACATGGATGACATGAAATCCGGACCCTGACAGTGTCGATCACGTGTTGAACCGTGCCACCGCTCGCGAACCAAAATCTTATTACGCCCTGAAGAAACTAGTTCGGCATAAAATTCCTCGCCATAAAAAATGGGCAGGACGAACTTTTTGCTGTAAGTTGAACGTAACTCGTTCTTTTTTATGTACGTGTAGTTCCCAGACGTCGGAGCGAGATGAAACGATGATAGTTCACGTTATGGCTTAAAATGCTATATTTAACTATATATTTTATATTGAAGTGTTTTTATGTGTTTTTAGACATAAAAATAAGAACTGATTTGGTTCTGTTTTTATACAGCAAATTTTCTTTTTGAATGTTGACACAATTATTCTGCAGTTGCAAAGGCTGACCACTGTATGGCAGTGTTGGGTGATTCTCAGGCGTCCACTGTAGAGGCTTATATGCAACACTGCCATCAAAACCTATTCTTATCATAGAAAATGACATTTTAATAGCTGTCCACTGTAGTGACCGTCATGCATGAATTAACCTGGCATTGCAGGTATTACTAAGGGAAGTTTCATACAACCAAACAAAGAAATTGTAATGATATTAGGGCTTTTTTTCTCTTTTCTTTCACATTTGCTTGTGAATGGACTTAATCAAGAACTATTTAGAGAAAGAAAACTAACAAAAGTTCATTCTGATTGGTTGGATGTCTTGTTGCTTGTAATCCTAATGACCATCTTACTTTCACTGTTGTGAATCTGACGCACACACACACACACGCACACACACACAGCGGCTTCCGATTCTGTGCATTCTTCTGTTCATTTGGCTATAAAATGATTTATTTGTGATTTAACCTCACGTTTATGGAAGAGTGTCATAGGGAAAGTCAATCATCAAATACTACAAGTGTTAAAAAAAATCGCAATACATTCAGAAAATAAATCTTTGCAACATACGTATATGCAAATAGAATACATAATATATAGCAAAAACTAAATGCCCCTAGTTATTACACTTCCGGTTTTGTAAATTGTGTGGCTATATGATTATATATGTTTGTGAATATGTTTGAACCACAAACTTTTAAATTAGTTATATTTTAAATAAACGCACAAACCCGTCCTTTTTTTTCATTTAACTCATTCTCAAACCGTAAACACGACGGGAAAAGAGAACAGTTCGTGATGCAGGACCGTGGTCTGTAAATGGTCAATGCAGCAACAGTAGACGAGAGAAAGGAAAAGTAATCGTATCGATGCGAAACCTCAACCCACGTAGTTAATACCTTGATCGATCCCATGTGCGTCTGCGCGTATTTGAAACGGAAGTGTTCGCTCTCTGAAGCTGAAGCGTCTTTAGTGACTTCGCCGTTGCACACAAAGAACTTGTGCTCAACGGTATTGATGTGGATATATACGTTTTGTCTCCACGCGAGTATGTTCGTAACGGTTGCGTAGGCGTCAATGTGAGAGCACTTAGTCTGGGAAAATCCCTCGATCTGCCTGCAAAATAGTCAAATTTGCCCGAATGGCATTTTAGCATGCTAACATATTAGCCAACGTTATCGCTTAAAAACAGAAAGGGTGAGTTGTTATTCATTATTTCTTGGCATTATTTCTCCACACAAATAGGTGTCTCGAATAACCAATGTTACGGTTCTTTGTTTCTTGGTTTGCTTAGGGTGCTTTTTCAGCCTAGCACTTTGGAATTGTGTGTGTGACATCTGTGAGAAATCATCATCAGCGACATGCCAGAAATCAAGATCAAGCACGTTGTATCCTGTAGTACCGAAGATGCAGTAAGTCATTATACCGTTGCATTAATCAACCTATATACAGTGTGTTCAAAGACAGCCTTGAATCAAAACTCACATTACATACATAACTAAGTATTTCATAAAACATCTAGTATATCGGTGCGGGATCCCCCGTTTATTTTGTTTTTAGTCAGAACGTGATATTGCCTCCCAAGTAATTACTTGCATCTGTGGTCTTTTGCACAATTAATACTGCCATATATAGGTGACTGCCGTAATATTTTCCTGGCCATCTCTTTTTTAAGCATCGCCTCTTTTTGCTTAAGGGATCTACGCAATCATTTTACGGGTGGTTTTACTTTTGTTTACTACTAGAATCAAAGTGGGCTGTTTTGGGCAATAATAATAATATTAAGGTATTGTTTAGAGACCGTGTTTCTCTGCTGTTTTCAAGTAAAATGTCTTACTGTTTTTTTTTTGCATTTCATTTCACTGCCAAAACAGACTCATAAGGCAGACAACTTGCTCAAATGTGACACCTACAGGAAGTGGAAAGCAGCAACACCCGGAGAAAAACAGATATCGGTCATTTTGCAGGTATGTCTCTGGCCACACTGCAGACTTCAGACTTGTAATGTGTGTCACGCATACAGGTACATGATCTGAAATGTCACAGGTGGTGGGGGGAAAAAAAGGTTTGTAGAATAAAGAATTTTAGATAGAGAGGACTGATTTCAGGAAATTCAGTGAATGATTAAGGAGGAATGAAGAAGGAATTTTAAAGAATGGTCCAGTTGTAAATAGAAGACTGTAATGAATCCATAAAATATAATAAATGTATACATTTTTATTTATTAGGTTAAGATGCTCCGCCGAATGGACTTTATTACATGTTAAAATTAAAAGCTCCCAATGGCCATAAAAATGACTTGGCAAGCCGCATTCGACCCCCTGGTTCTTGAGTTTGACACAAATAGTTTCGAGTAAATACTTGTGGATATGTAGAAATGGACACAAAAGAGTACAATTGACTTTTTGACCACAATGGAGAAGTGTGAGAAAATGTCTAATAAATGAGGACAGAGTGCACAAATTGCAAAGGGAAAACTGTAAGCTCCAGAACAGTTAAAGCAAAAGATAAAATAAATATATTATATATAAATATAATTCTTCTATTTCTTTCGGCTTTGTCCCCTTTTTTCAGGGGTCGCCACAGCGATTCATTGATTTCCGTATTGCCCTGTTCTCTGTATCTTCTACTCTGACTCCATCATTAGTGTGTAGTAGTGACCATGAATTGTAAGAATTGAATCGTATTGTCATAAGTTACGTGCACTTACCCAACATATAATGTATATATGAATTACGTATTTTCCGGACCATAAGTACTGCCAAAACAGACTCATAAGGCAGACAACTTGCTAAAATGTGACACCTACAGGAAGTGGAAAGCAGCAACACCCGGAGAAAAACAGATATCAGTCATTTTGCAGGTATGTCTCTGGCCACACTGCAGACTTCAGACTTGTAATGTGTGTCACGCATACAGGTACATGATCTGAAATGTCACAGGTGGTGGGGGGAAAAAAAAAGTCAAACCACACCGCGCATCACGCATTATGGCACACAACTGAACGTCACGTCCTGCCCCCCAACACCCAGAGACGGAGTTGTTTTTGTGTTGTTGATGTATGATGCGATGCAGGACAACTCAAGACGCATTTTTTTCGTAGTCAAGAACTCTTTTTATTTCTCCTTTTTTTATCGATACAGGCAAAACACACACACACTCTCTCTGCAAAACAACATCCGCACTTCTGCACGGAACAGCGTCAAAACAACAATACGGTGACCATCCAGAACAAGAATAGTGATAACCGCCTGACTCTGGTACTCCAGTGTCCAACTGAGGTCACTATATAATAGGTCAATATATAGGTCACTAGCCTTTTCCACAAATCTCTGTTCCTATTGATCTGTGACTCCATGCGCGCCCATCTCACCGATATTGTCAAAACCTAAGTGAAGCAAACTAATTCGGGGGCTTGCCATCATTCCGGGTTGATTGACCACAGAATTTCAACCGCTAAATATTGGCGTTAACAGGGCGTTCAAAGTTAAATTGCGAACTGCGTAGGACCATTGGATGACAGCGAACACACATTCACCAAGCCTGGAAGGTCAACGCCGGGAGAGTTACGCCACTATCTGCTTATAGATCGTGGATGCCTGGGCTAAGGTATCAGTCTCAAATGTCGTCCGGGGGCTTTCACGAAGGCCGGAATCATCACTGAACAACTAATTAACAGCAACTAGACAGACTCGGATAATGATGAGAGGGATCATGCTTGGTTGTTCCGCTTAATTGTTTCGCTGACCGTTTTGCTTCTCTTAATGCGCCTTATAACCCGGTGCGCCTTACGTATGAAAATATTCCCGTTCGTTGATAGTGCACCTTGTAATGCGGTGCGCCTTATGGTCCGAAAAATACGCTATGTACACTGTTTTAGGGATGCAGCCAAATGAAAATTCCGGGCCAAAACTGAAATTGGGGAAACCAAGATGGAAAACCAAAATACCAAAATTAATTATTTTGCTAAATATTATTACCATTTATTGTTGTGTGGAGAACATTTTAAAATGCACTTGACTTAAATGCACTTTGTGTTTTATGAGAGAACATAATTCATTAATTCAATAATTACATTTATCAGCACACAGTTAGGCCTGTACATTATTATTTAATCTACATGAGTGGGGTCAAGTTAAACGCTTTTTTTATTGTTATTTTGTGTGCATTGTTGAAATGTGCTAAATACGTTTTTGTTTTTTGTGTGTGCATTGTTGAAATGTGCTAAATAAGTATTTTTGTAATTTTTTTTAACTGATTTATTCTTTAAAACAATATGCAATTGCAATGTCTTGATTTGAGTGAGTTTAGTAGTCATAAACGCAACATAGTTATTGGCAAAATAATTTATTTTAGTGTTTTCAGTTTTCTGCCTTGGTCTCCTAACTTTTTTAAAATGTATGTTTTTGTCCATTATGCTTATACAGTATATGTCCAATTCTAGAATCTCTTAAACAAACAGATTACTAAATAAAAAATAAAATACGTGTTTATATAAAGTATATATATGTATATGTGTGTGTATGTATGTATGTATGTATGTATATATGTGTATATATGTATATATGTGTATATATATGTATATATGTGTGTGTATATATATGTAAATATGTCTATAAATATATGTAAAACCATTACATTATAAATATAACAAAATTTTAATTTGACCAAGTTATTTAGATCAGTGATTCTTAACTCTAGGGCCACGGCCCAAACTCCACTGAGAGGGCCGCAAAAATCTTTCAGCTTTGCATCTGTCGTCCACAAGGGCCGCTGGGCCGCATAGGTTATAAACTGAAGACAATAATAAGGCTAAAGTTTCATTTGCACTTTATTCCAATTTTATACACATTTCTTTTAATTCTAAATTTTTAATCATTATTATTATTAAAATAATTTTTAAATTAATTCAATTTAAAATCTTGAAATTTCAACATTACACATTTTGCAAATCGCTATCTGTGGGTGTTTCTCAGATATAGTATATTGAAATACGTCCACACCACAGACGTGTTGGCACTTTCAGACAAGCCGGCGGTGTTTGCTTGCATTATCATAACTTCGGCCGTTTTGCTTCGGTGATAAGTCTTGGCTGAAAAACCGAAAATGCACTTTTCAGCCGAAAATTTCCGGTGGATGAAAATTTGATCCCTAATTAGTACTAAACAAAATTCATTGCAGCGCATGAAATGTATAGCTTAATTATAAATCATTTGTTTTTAACTGTGGATATTTTTTTTTCCTCTTAGTTTGAGAAGGAAGAGCAGGTGCACAGCATTGATATTGGGAATGAAGGCTCAGCTTTTGTTGAGGTTCTAGTTGGAAATTCTTCTGCTGTCAGAGATCAGGATTATGAGGTATTGCTGTAAACTAATCAATAATGATTTTATTTTTCTACATAATATTTGATTATTTTAACTTCATTGTTTTGCTCTGACTTTATTCTGTACATTAGGTCCTTCTGGTGACTTCAACTTTCATGTCCCCAACAGAGAGCCGCAATGGCACCAACATGAATCGAGTGCGGTTCTTTGGGTCAAACCAGCTGCAGAAGACCACAGCACAAGAGAAGTGGGACAGGGTTAAAATTATTTGTAGCCAGCCATACAGCAAGGTAGGAGGGGCTGTTTTTCACATTTCAATATGTGCCATTACTTGGTTTATTGAATATTTAAACATAAACAATACCAAATGTAAGATTTAACAATTAAGAAATAGCATTTCTCTGAGAGTGACAGCTGTTGAGTTCTCCTGTATTGAGTTGATTTATATATACTGTGTGTATGTATACTGTATATATACTTTATATATGTGTATATATGTATATATATATATATATATATATATATATATGTGTGTATATATATGTATATACATATATATATGTGTGTATATATATACATATATGT